AACCGAGGGAATTCTTGAGATCGGCACCGAGGTAAGACGATATCAGACATATGGATAGGGATAAGGTTCGAACTGGTAAGCCTGGCAAAGAAAGAGCCACCGCCCGAGCAGAAACGTTTCGGAGGTCCGCGCGGATGCCCTGGATCGGCGCGGCCAGGAGCATGGCGACGAAATCTGAGCATATCCACTGCTGCCTTGCCAGGCCCATCCTGAACCCAGCAGCGGTGTATATGCCACGCCCTCTGGCTCGGCCAGGAAAGCGTATGCACAGCTCCCGGGTTCAGGATAGGCCTCGCCAGGGAGCCGAGGACATGCATAGAATTCGTCACCCGAAGGAGTTTCCAGCTGGCTCTTCGCCCAAAAGGCCCCAAGGGGCCCCAAGATGTGGCGAAAAGCTGGGGGGGGATCTTCGGCCAGCGGCCACAGGGGGGTCCAGCATTTCCCGACGGAGGGCGCTCGCCACGGGCGACTATTACTAAGTCGGGCCTGTCCCTCTACAGAAGGAATATTCAAAAATAGTAAAAAATACTCTGGGGACTATTGTTATACTATTTGTTGACAATTTGAATGTATTTTCAAGCATTTTAAATGTGTCACCCGAAATCCCCCAGTTGGGAGACAAACCCGACTTAAGACGATTAGCAGAAACAAACGCAATTGCAGAAACGTGATAAACTTTCAGAGGTCCGCGCGGACTCCGCGCTGGAGGGGGGTCCAGCGCAGATCGGAGAAATCCGAGCGGAACTCAAAAACCTGCTGATCATGCATGTTTGCATTCCTCGAGTATCTCCCCCTGGCCTGTCCCCCTGACGGAAGGCGTTTGCCATCGCCGAGAGACCGATCCAATCGGGGACACACTAACCCGGGTCAGCGCAAACCTGGGTCAGCCAAGGCCACGTCGCGAACCCAGGCTGGCCACGAAGTACCTCCCAAACTGAAGGGGCCCCAGGACACACAAATAAATACACACAAATAAACATTTTCCCCATATTTTCCCATATTTTCTGGGTTTCTGTCTTCCCCCCCACTTCCCATATTTTCCCATATTTTCTGGGGAATCGACGATTAATTGTGTCTGTGTGTTTTTTCCTCTCCTGACAAACCCGGGAAGGCGGAGGCCGGGGGAGCGGACTCGGCACTGCTAGAAAAGCCGAAGGGCTGCGTACACGCAAACGTGCGGAGGTCCGCGCGGAGCTCTTGGATCGGAGCTGGACCCTCCCCCTGCCTTGCGCGCGGGGCGCGCCAGGGTCTGACTACCTACCAGACCACCCCAACCCAACCCGAAGACCCGAATTTCGGGTTGGGGGGGGTAAGGGTTCCACGCGTGTTTTTTCGATGTTTCCCGAACCCCCCCCACTAGAAATCGAGGCTAAATCTGAGCCTTCGGGTTGGGTTGGGGTGGTTTGGTGGGTGGTGAGGGTCGGCGCTGGAGGCGCCGCTGGGGCCGGGGGGTCCAGCGCAGATGCGAGGAATCCGCGAGCCGCTCCGGAATCGATCCCCCAAACAGCGCTTGCTTGCAATTAGGACTCCTCGCCTCTCTCTTGAGGCACTGGGCCTGGTTGCTGGTTCCGCCGCCCTGTGTCCGCCGTCCCCGCGTCGTCGCCACCCGTCGCTTGGGCCTGGTTGCCGGTTCCACCGCTTTGTGGCCGCTGTCACCGCCTCGTCGCCGCCCGTCGTCACATAGACTGCGCATGCTGATAGATTGCACAACGAAAACTGCACCAAGTAGCTTGCACCACATGAACTGCACCACGTACCACATCGGATCTCTATTCTATATGGAAAATGGCATCCCCCACGCACTCCGGAAGGAACGGTACCGATTTGTTGTTTGTTGTTTTGTTTGCGTATCGCGACGTACATATGATGCTGCCCCATCGCTCATCCCAGAAAGGAATTCATACAACGCCACCAAAGCCAATATTGCCGCCCGTGACATCGTCTGCAAAAATATGCGAACGCACTCGCTTTATCAAAAACCATGAGTTTTCAAGAAACCTTTTTTTGCAAAAGACGAGACGAAATGCACACGCACGCGCGTCGTCGCGCGCGCATGCCGAAATCATTCGAAAACCTCGGGTGTCGTGTGATTCTAAATCGAATGTCCCAAAAGAAACATACAACCACACATTGTTTCGCAACATATGTGAATTGTTTTAAAAGGGCTGCGTTCGCGCTCTTGCAAATTCATGAAACAACACATGCGTTATCACGATTGGTATTACATGGTACCACAAAAAGTCGAAATCAATCGATCGCCTTGGTGCGCGTGGTGTCGCCGAAATTTGTTGCAACATATGCGACGAAACGCGCAAGCGCGCGCCATCGCGCGCGCATGCAAACATCCTCTGTTTTCAAAACCACGGGTTTCATATGGATATCAAAATCGAATGTCCCGAAACATATAAACATACGGTTCTGCAACACCAATGTGCAAACATGCCTGTGCTCGTGCTCCTGGAACTTTTTTTGTGGAAAAAAACACGGGCTTGTTTCAACATGTTGGAAAACTCGTCCAAACGGGCCTCACGCACCGCACGTCCAGAAAATCCGATCGCCTGTTGTATGCCTTTTTTGGGGGGTCGCGATCTATTTCCGATAATACCATGCTGGCCACTGTCGCGCGTCGGCCGCGCATGCATGTCGAACTCCTCCCAAAACCTTCATCACCGACGCGAGGACGCACTCATCATCGTTGGCGTGGCCACCATCGGGGCCGTCACTGGCCATGGTTATCCTTGGCGTGATCATCTCGTCGTCATCATCGCCACCAGCATCGCTACCACCATCATCGCGTCGACCGTTGTCGACGTTGCCATCAAACCGCGCCCGCACAAGTCGCCGACTCGCACTGAAGTGCCCACTGGTCACCGCCACCGCGGCCGCGTCGGTCGCCAAACTGGCCGGCCGCTGCGCGCGGGAGCATGCGCGGGCTAGCGCGGGCGCGCAAGTGTACCAGCTAACTCCAATCAGTCATCGCGATCGGCACCGCATGGGTTTTTCAAACCAAGTTGCGGGTGGGTGGGTGGGATGATTGCCCGAGCAGTGGGATGGACAACCCACCGCGAACAACAATGAATTCTCCACCCTGCCATATACGTATTCAGATAAACCTCGCTCTTTAAGGTGAGCGGTATTCTTTGTGTTTATATAAATGAACTGACGATGCTGCACCATCGCCCACCTTGAACATGAATTCGTATCATCCCTAATAAACTGGTATCAAAAAGCCCCTTTCACCGTCTGCAAAAAACAACTACGCGCGCTTGTTTACCAAAACCCAGGAGTCCCCAAGAAACCCTTGCAACACAAAAGGGGAGGCGAAATGCACACGCCCGCGTCGTCGCGCTCGCGTGCCAAAATCAGTCAACAACTTTCGTGAGGGGTTCAAAACCGAATGTCCCGACAACGTGTAAAACATTCACGGTGTCGTAGCAAGCGTTTCCAAAAATAATCTGGTTAAAACAGCCGGCGCCTCGTTACCGCACGTGTTTGGTACAAAAAACATTGGTCTACACTGCCATCAAATACTACCAGGGCGGGCCTCTCGCGCACGCATGTCAAAATCGCTCGAAAACCCTTGCGCGCGTGCTGTCGCCTGAATCCCTTTCAGCAAATGGGACGACGAGCGCGCGCACGCCTCGTCGCACGCGCATGCGAAAGTCCTTCGAAGACCTCAGGCTTCGTATAGGTTTCAAAACCGAGAGTCCCGAGCATATAGAAAAACAACATTGTTCTACAACGTCAGCTTCAAACATGTCTGCACTTGCGCCCCTGCGAAGCCTGAAGACAATCACACATTGTGTCAACATGTTCACTGGATTCGGCCAAACGGGCCTCTCGCGCCGCATGTCAAAATCATGAGAGCGCCCTTGCGCGCGAGCTGGTGGGGCACATCCTTCATCACCGACCCGAAGACGCCGTCATCGTCGCCGGCGTGACCCGCATCGGCGCCGACACTGGCCTTGCCGTCGTCGTCGTCATCGTCACCAGCATCGGTACTACTATCGTGTCTGTCGTTGCCGGCTTCGCCCAAGTGGCCGACTCGCACTGAAGTGCCCGCTGGTAAGTCCCCAGCGGTCACCGCCACCGCGGCCGCGTCGGTCGCGCGACACTAGTTTGCCGCTGCGCGCGCGAGGGTTCGCGGGCTAACGCGGCCGCAGAGACGCACCAGTCAACGCCATGCACCCATCGCAATCGCCGCCGCATGAGGTTTGCAAACCAAGTTGCGGGCGGGTGGGTGGGATGGTTGCACCAGCAGTGGAGTTGACAACTCACTGCGAACCGCAACTAATTGCACCACGTAGATTGTATCACGCAGACTTCACCAAGTTCTGCCAGAACACGCCGTGTGGAACTGTTATGCTGCCTCTTGTTATTCGATCTGGGTGGCTGCTACAACCGGATCAGCCAGAAGACCTCGGCGGGGATTGGCTGACCCTGCCGAGTCTTCGGGCTGCGTACAAACAGCCCCCCAGGTAGTCCCGGCTGGCCTCAACAGGCCACCCGGCGAGCCCCACTTGGCCTCAACAGGCACCCAGAGCAACCTGGGGCGGTCTCGACACGTCAATCCTGGGGCGCGGAGCGCCCAAGGGGCGCCGCCAGAGGCGGCGCCGGGGTGTTGAGACCGTTTCTGACTGCGGGGAGCCTGTTGAGACCAGCTTGGGCTGCTCGGGGGGGTCTGCCGAGGCAAGCTGGGACTACCTAGGGGGGGCTGTCTGCGCGCAGCCCGAAGCCTCATCAGGACTGGCCGACCCCCGTCAGCGCAGGCAGAGTGCACGGGCGACGTCGGCGATGCGGCGGCGCCGTTCGTGTGAAGATCGGGCTCCACATCGAGCCGCCTCGCCGATTCATCGGCGATGCGGCGCGGTCCTCCTCCTCCTCCTCCTCCTCCTCCTCCTCCTCCTCCTCCTCCTCCTCCTCCTCCTCCTCCTCCTCCTCCTCCTCCCCCCCGATCGAGGCCCAGGAGGCCCCGAGCCGGGCGCGCGGTCGCCGCCCGCCCCCCGCCGGGGGCAGGGCGGCCTGGAGCGCCGCGCTGTCCTCACGCAGGGCCTCGAGCTCGGCGGCGCGCGCCTCGAGCTCCTCTCGCGCGGGGGAAGGGCGCCAGCCGGGGGGGGGGTAGGAAAGGAGTGTCCAGGAGCGAAGGTCGAAGGCGGGTCCAAGTCGGAGGAGGAGGAGGAGGAGGAGGAGGAGGAGGAGGAGGAGGAGGAGGAGGAGGAGGAGGAGGTCGAGGATCGGAGGTCGAAGGAGGAGGAGGAGGAGGAGGAGGAGGAGGAGGAGGAGGAGGTCCAGGGTCGAAGGTCGAAGGCGGGTCGAAGAGTTTTGGGGGAGCGTCCAGGGTCGGGGCCCGAGGGTAGAGAGGGGGGGATCGAGGGTCGAGGAGGGAGGGTCGCAGGTCGGAGGGCGGAGGGGGATCGAGGATCGAGGGCCGAGGCTCGACACCTGGGGGGGAGAGGGGGAGGGGGGGGGGGGATCGGGGGGCGCGGCGGGCCCGCGGCCCGCTCCCGCGCCCTCGGAGGCCCCAGGCTTGCCGAAAGGGCCCTCGGACTCGGACTCGGACTCGGACTCGGACCTGCAAGGTGCACGCCGGCGGGGGCGCTGCAGGCGGGCGCCATGGCGCCATTGTGTGAAACGAGCGTGGCCGCGGGCTCAGCACCGGTTGGCGGTGGCATGAACGCGTGATGCTGTATGGCAGGGGAAGGACGCACGAAAGGAGAGAGGGACGCACGACAAGCGAGGACGAGAGGCGAGGCCGAGGGTGGGAGGGGGAGGGACGAGCGACAGGAGGGACGACGGAGGAAACGCGAGGGAGGGAATTCAAACAGTGCTATGAAAAAAATGTACAATCACATTATCTACTGACAAATCTGCTCTCCATCGTTCCCCAAACGTCCGTCGTGGCAACATCATACCAATGGTATCCCGCACAACTTTGTTCTGACAAGTACACACAAATAAGTACACACAAATAACAAGATCCCACATCTTTTCCCATATTTTCTGGGTTCTTGTCTTCCCCCCCAATTCCCATATTTTCCCATATTTTCCTTGGAGTCGACGATTAATCCCACCAGCCCTCTGGGCGTCGGTGGTTTAGAGCGCTTCCTCTTCCACCCCTCCTTCTTCCCCTTCGGGGAGGGGTTTGCCCCTCCCCCTACCCCCTCCCCACTGACCTGGACAGGGGGGGCGGGGAGCGGTCAGAGCGTCCAAAACGGCCTCGCCGAGGAAGCCAAAATCATTGATTTTACTAAGGTTTTGGCCCCATTTTGGCCCCCAGAGGGGGCAGCACTAATTGAAGCTCCCCTCTTCTTTGATCGATTTCCTCCAAGATGGCCCCAAGAAGCGCCCAGGAGGCACCAAGAGGCCCCAAGATGGCCCCAAGATGGCCCCAAGAGGCCCCCAGGAGGCCCCCAAGAGGATCCCAAACGGCCCAAAGAGGCCCCCCCGAGGCACCCAAGACGCCGAAAAGCCCCTCAGGACGACCCTCTACTCGCCTGGGCGTCGTTTCTGGACGGGCTGGTGGGGATACGCGAAGCGTCTAGAATTGTGTCTGTGTGATTATTTCCCTCTTGACTTGCAGCCGTTCGTGCGAGCTTTCGCGTTACGCACGGATGTTTGCTTTTGTTCCACTTTTGCTGCACCTCCGTTCCAATTCCGCTCCGCCTCCGCTCGAATACGCTCAAGTCGGGCCTGTCCCTCTACAGGGGGGAAATGCAAGAATAGTCCAACAATAATGTGGGGACTATGTTTTGAGTATGTTTGGGCATACTTTGAATATGTTTGACTATTATCCCCCTGTAGGGGGGCACCTGTTTGGCAGAGGGTGATGCAAATGTACGAACAACTAAAGCTTTCCTTCAGAATCCGCATGAGCGCGAGCGCAGATAGCTGTTTTTGGTTTTGAAAACTGATGTTGCAAACTGGTGTGTGTGTGTGTGTGCGCGTGTGTTTGAATCTGTTTTCGGAACACTCCGTTTGGAAATTCTTCCGAAACCGACGGTGTTGCGAGGATTTCGGCGTGCGCGCGTGACGACGCGCGCGGACGCATGTCGAACCAATTGTTGGAAGGGGTTCTTGCGACCGCACGCGCGCAAGGGCTTTCGAACGATTTCGGCACGCGCGCGCGAAGAGGCCAATCTGGACGCATTTGATGAAAATGTTGCAAAACTGATGGTTTTCTGAAGAATTCGCACGACCACGGGCGCAAACTTGTTTTGACAATTTTTGTAGGACACCATGTGTTTCTACAAGCCTGTTGGACACTCGGTGTCGAGACCCTTACGCGACCGGTGTTTTTCAAGGAGTCCGGCATGCGCGCGCGACGACGCACGCGTGTGCACTTCGTCCCGTTTTGTGCAAGGGTTTCTTCCTGGAAGCTGATGAATTCTGATACAGGAAATGAAGGATGAAAAAACGACCCCACCCTGGGTTACGAGTGCATGGTTCGTAAAACTCCAGCCTAGAGAGCCGCCAGGACGCCGCACATCACGCAGGGTTTACCCCGACAGCCCACAGGAGTTTCAACGCACAGCGCCTCGTAAACCAGGGTACACCCTGCGAAATGCTTAAGAAATCATGGGTTAAGAAATTCATAGTCTCATCATCTGATTACAAACCCAGAACTCCTATCAAAATCTTGGGATTTACATTGACAAGTTAAGAATAATCGAGACTCTGGACGAAAACTTAGGTTTTCTTAAGCATCGCCTAGGGTGTAGGGGCGTTTCTGATGCCCTTGAAGGAAAGCGCGCACACAACGAATGAAGGGAGCGGGAGAAGCAGGAGGACAGGGGGAAGGCGGAGGGGGGGGGGCAAACTGGAGGACTCGGATCCAGAAGAATGGCCCGCGCTGGGGGGCCAGAGCGGCATTCGTGGTGACGGGAGCAGAGGCGCCGATCCGCCAACGAGGCCCGCGCTGCAGCGGGAACGCCACTGTGAAGCAAGGGAAATCATCGGACTGGAAAAAAAATCGGGCTGGAAAAGAAGCCTGCGAGAAAAACAATGCTTGACATCCGATTGAAACAAATATCCGCGGAGAGGGCAGACTATCTTCCGGACAGAGGTCCAGGGAGGGGGGAGAGAAGTCTTCATAATGTGTGATTGTCGAGGGGAGGGAGGGGCGGGGCGGGGAGGGAGGGGAGGGGATGGGGGGGAGGCAGGGCAGGGAGGAAGGGGCAGGAGGGGGTGCACAGTCAGGCTGAGCTGTCACGCGGAGCGCGAGGTGAGGAGCGAAGCCCCTTGCCGTTTGCCCCAGGAGCTCCCGGATGCACGAGGGGCGCCAAGGGAACCAGCCGCCGTGGGAGGGCCGGAGAAACAGCGAGCACCCCTTCGGAGCCGGGGCTGCTCCTTCTTCCAGCGTTGTGTTTTTTTGATTGTTTTTCCTTCTTCTGACTACCTACCAGACCACCCCAACCCAACCCGAAGACCCGAATTTGACCCGAACTTCGGGTTGGGGGGGGGGGGGTACGGGTTCCATGTGTTTTGCTCAGTGTTCCCCGACCCCCCCCCACTGGAAATCGTAGATAAATTTGGGCCTTCGGGTTGGGTTGGGGTGGTTTGGTGGGTGGTGATCTTCTTCTTCCTCCTTCTCTTTCCAGCGTCTTGACTGCAAGGGGGGGCCGGGGGATGAGGGGCAACGTTAGGGAGGGGACCCGCTCAGAGGGGGGAAATATCGAGCGGGCGTCGGCGAACGCACATCGCCGATAAATCAGCGGCAGGCCCCCGATGTGGAGTCGGCGATCAATTTCTGATGGAGGGCCGATGCATCCCCCCCTGAGCCTATCCCAACCCTGACGTTGTCCCCCCTCTGACGCTGCCAGGTAAGGCTTCGGACTGCGAGCAGACAGCCCCCCGAGGGCGCAAATGTAGTCCTGGCTGGCCTCAACAGGCCACCCGACAGTCCCAGCTGGGCTCATCAGGCCCCCCCAATAGGTCTGGGGCCGTCTCAGCACCCCAACCCTGGCGCGCGGGGCGCCACAGGGACACCGCCAGGGGCGGCGCCAGGGGGTCGAGACCGCCCTGGACGAGGCCAGCTGGGACTCCTCAGGGGGGCTGTCGAGGCCGGCGGCTAGCGGGGACCACCTGGGAGGAGGTGGGGGAGGAGCGAGCCGTGAGCAGCGAGAAGCGAGGAGCGGCGACGAGGAGGGAGGAGCGCGGCCTGCCTGCGCGCAGCCCGGAGCCCCAGCAGCGCTGCCCCCCAGAGGGGCGCGGAGTGCGAGCATCGGGGATGGACAGACCTCCCTTTAGTAAAACGTGGTTTGGTGAAAACGACCTCGGGCCCAAACCTGGCGGGCGCAGGCCTGGAAAACAACGGCCGCGGCGCCCCCTCGAGAACCGAAGACGGACAAGTCACTAATCGACGTGTCACTGTTAGGAGGCCTGTCCACCCCCGAGACTCCCCCTCCTCCTCCTCCTCCTCCTCCTCCTCCTCCTCCTCCTCCTCCTCCTCCTCCTCCAGGCCTCGGGCGCAGCGGGGGGGGGGGGCCCCTGGAGGCACCGCCGCCCTCTCCGGCGACCGGCTCGCCGGGCGGCCGCCGACGGGCTCGGCGGCGGAGCTCCGAGGGGGGGCTCCGGTGCTCAGGAGCGAAGGTGCGCCCCGCGACGCCGAGGACTCCCCGACGCGTCGGCGGTGTGCACGGGCGACGGCGGCGATGCATGCCAGGGGGCCACATGCGAACCCTACCCCTACCCCCCACGATCTCTGAGGGGGAGGGTGGGGTTCCCTTCGCTCGGGAGCTCCCGAGCGAAATGAACCCCACCCTCCCCCTCGGAAATCGTGGGGGGTAGGAGTTGGGTTCGCATGTGGCCCCCTAGCATGGGAGTCGTCGTCCGCATCGCGCCGCATCGCCATTGCAGCGGCGATGCGGCTCGAGCCTCCGAGCCCGTCTGCCCTGACCCATCTGGAGAACCTGGACGCGCGCGCCATCGAGCCAAAGGGCTTGGCCACCGTGGACGAGGTCCCTCAGGTGAAGGTCTGCCTGCAGGGCCCATCAGATGCCAGCCTATGGATAGGGAGCGGGAGGGCTTATTCCAACATCGTTGATGACTCTTAGGTTTGCACTGGTCCTCCTCCTCCTCCTCCTCCTCGTCCTCCTCCTCGTCCTCCTCCTCCTCCTCCTCCTCCTCCTCCTCCTCCTCCTCCACCCTCCCCCTCCACCCTCCCCCTCCTCCTCCTGCGACCTTACGCCGCGACTTACGCGGGCCGCAAGCGTGGCGCGCTACATTGGAAGCGAGGGGCGTTCACGCGAGACCCTACGCGGGAAGCTCACGCGCGAGTGTCCGCGCAGTCGACCCCGCTCTCTCTCTCTCTCTCTCTCTCTCTTTTTGTCGCTCGGATGGGCTCTGGTGGGGATCACCAACAGGGAAGCGGCCAGGGGAGGAGGAGGAGGAGGAGGAGGAGGAGGAGGAGGAGGAGGAGGAAGAGGCGAAGGAGGAGGAGGGGGAGGAGGAGGGGGTCTGAACTGGTTGGGACTCCACACAATCGATTAGGATAATTAGGGTGGGGGACCGAGCCGAATCCCTTCAGAATCGGTCCCCGGACCCCTCAATGGGGTCCATCGGATGCAAGGTTTCACCCTGGGTCTTCTTTTGTACAGAATCGCTGGGCGGGAAAACGGCCCCTCGGACGCAGAGAAAGGCAAAAACCTTCCCGAACCCAGAGCCTTGAACCTGCCCGCCCTTCCTGCTGGCCGAAGCCAGTGCTGAGCCACCTCAGTCCCCCAGACAGCTCCAACCATCAACACGTCCGCAGAATGGGCTCAGACGCTCCTCCTGACAGCTCGGACTCGGCCTGCGTCTTGCAACACGGGGGTGCTGCAGGGTGGGGCCGCATCGCCCAGAAAAGACAGGTGTGTGACACCAGGGCGGCACGTTTCTCGGGGCGTGAATTACCTCCCCCGCTTTCGCTTCCAGGCAAAACCAAGCCATACCACGCGCCTCCTCGTCAAGCGGCCTGACCAGTACAGTCCGCAATTTGGCATTGTTTGGTATCTCTTGGAAGCGAGGGTGGGCAAAAGCGAGGTAGGTTTATTTTCCCCCGAGTTTCTACAGAACAAAGGCGGCGGTGGCGAGCATCAACTGGTGCAAGCGTCAGCTCCTCCTGACAAGGGGGAGAGCGAGCTGCCCCTTCGGGCCCGCCTCGGTCCTGCCCGCGCCTCTGCAGCGCCTGGTCGAGCTCCGAGCAGCGCCCCTGCAGATCCCCGCAGCGCCCCTCCAGCTCCCCGCAGCGCGCTTGCAGCCGCCGGCTCTCCTCGCAGGCGTGGAGCACTGAGAATTAAGGGGTGCGAACGGTAGTAGGGGAAAAACAAACCTACCTCGCTTTTGACCACCCTCGCTTCCAAGAGATACCAAGCGATGCCAAACTACGGCCTGCGCTGGTCAGGCCGCTTGACGAGGAGGCGCGTGGTACGACTTGGTTTTGCCTGGAAGCGAAAGCGGGGTAGGTAATTCACGCTCTGAGGTAGGGGAGGAGGTGAGAAGCAGTTTGTGACTACCTCCCAAACCACCCCAACCCAACCCGAAGACCCGAATTTCGGGTTGGGGGGGGTACGGGCTTCATGTGTGTTTTCTCGACGTTCCCCGACCCCCCCCAACTGGAAATGGAGGCCAAATTCGGGCCTTCGGGTTGGGTTGGGGTGGTTTGGTGGGTGGTGAGTTTGGAGGCTCGAGATTCGAAGTTTGAGGCTTTCGGCAATGCTCGCCTGCTCTCCGCGGCCTTTCCAGCCACGGGATGCCCGCCCAGCGGCTGCGCAGCGCCGAGGATGTCCCGGGGCTGCCCAGATCGTCCCGAGTGCTGCCGGAGGCCCGAATTATGACCCGACAATCTCCAATCGGGTCGGGCGAAAGGGGGGGATAGCAAAGGGGGGGTTTGAGAATCAGCTCACGTAGCTGATTTTCCCGGCGCCTCCCGGCGCCGGAGGCGGCTATGTATCGAGGAATGGGCCCCTCGGTGAGGCCGAAACCAGCTGCATGCAGCAAATTTCGTAACCCCCCCTTTCCCAATCCCCCCTTTCGCCCGACCCGATCCAAGCGACGGGCAAAGGGGGGGAAACATCGATACGGAACCGGTGATGCATAGGCGACCGATCGGCGATAGGCCCCCGACAATGACTCCGCACGCTCCTGGGCGGGGGTGGGGAAATGATCGGGCCCCTACCGGCGATGAATGGACGATTGGGGGTCGATGCATCCCCCATATGTGTACCCCCCCTATCGTTGCCCCTGACGTAGGCGGGGGTGATGGGCACAAGCTGACTGACAGTCATGTCGCACCCGATACTCATAGGAAGCTGAAACGCTACCGCTACCCTTCCCTCGTTTTCCCGCTTTGTGACCTCTTCGGAAACCCTCGTCGCCACCGCTGACTTCGTCTCGGAACTCTGTTCAGAAGGTACCACGGGAGAGGCATCGGTACCCTTTGGTTTCCCCAGATATCGACTGCTTGACATAGAAAGAAGACCAAGCAATTATGTACACCGACCCCGACCAAGCCCATCCTGGGACCAGGATTGGTGCATGCGCCCTCTTGGCTTGGCCAGGCTGGTCACATCCACAACTCCTAGGACCTAAATGGACCATGTGCAGAACTCTCTTCGCCCGATAGACGGTGGGATGTGAATCTCCCAGCCGTCCTTGAACAGACTCACGGCGGAAGGCATTGTAGGAGTTGGGGGGTAGGCCGGTCTTACACTATCCCAGAGCGCGTGGCTGAAAAGGGGGGCCCGCGGTGCGGGTTAATGTTTGGTCTTGCCGTCGCCCTGCGACCCGAGCCACCAACCGCCTGCAACCCACCCGGCCCGAGACCCGTCACGCGACCCGTTCCCACTGCTCATGAATCGGCGCGCACGGCAAACTGTTCGGTCGGGGGTTTGGACAACAACGTGTCTCGAGAGCGGCCAAGAGGGGGGTGTCCAAGAGGGGGGGGTGCAAATCATGACCGGCGGCATGTGCGCGGCCCGGCGGGGGGGCCAGGGACGTAATGAAATAAGAAGAGGCGCCATGAAATCTGGGGAAACATCATGACCACCGCCTTGATATCCACCCCCCCCTGGTCATCACCCCCCTCTTTTCCGCCCCCGAGTGTCTGAACCCGCACGGAGCTGGGACACTTTTTGATCGGCAGATGCGTACTCCGCAACACAGCGGCTCCAGTCGGTGAGGTGTGGGGGCAGGAGTGGCCTACCACAGAGGCCAGGCGGATGCGAGCGAAGAAGGAAAAATGGCGGCCACAGCAGCAGGGAACCCGCTGGGACACACCTGCGACCCGCACGCGTATTTTCACCCCCCCCCGCGACAAACCCATTGCAGCTCCCTCCGGGGCGGCAGATGCAAGTCTCTCACCCGCCCCGCCCGCTCCGCCGCCAGGACTGGGCCTCCATCGCTCGTCATCTGCAGCTTCGGGGCGCACGCGCTCTGCAATTGCCACCCTTTGCTTGAGAAAGGGCAGTTATGGCCGTGGTATGGCACATATATATATATAGATATAACCATTGGAAATGATTTGCTCGCGCGGCGAGGTTCGTAGCTCTTAAGCAAAGGGCCAGATCCCACAATAAACGGTAGCGGCAGATATAGATACAACCAGACAGAGAAAGAAAGTACAGGGAGAGAGAAAGCAGGGGTACAGCCACTGGGCCTTTCAAGGCTTTTTGTGGAACCCTCTTCGGGCCTTTCTCTCAATCTTCTTGGGAGCGAGCTTGTTTCGCATCCCTCCCTAGTCGCCGTCTAGGGCAAAGCGGGGACTAAACGCAAGCCGCTCGCAGCCTCATTCGTAGCAGGGAAGATTATCCAGGATAATCTAGGCAGCCGAAGTGCTAACAGAGACACCACTTATCGCTACATAGTCACGGGCAAACAAGCTCGCACGGCTTGCACAACAGGCTGCCCAGGGGCGAATTAACGGGTGCTCGCGCGCACCTGCAAGACGAATTATCATACAAACGGGCTCTCGGCTTTAGATTCTTATTACTCAGCAACAAGTCAGCAATAACAGGCACGAGAAATGGTTGGTGTTCGCCATCACTATGAAACACGGGAGCAGTGCGCACAAAAGCGAAAGCTGCCATGATAGCAATGTCTGGGTAGAGGCAAACAAAAACCTTCAAAGTGAACTCGCGTAATATTTACCCGGCGTTAGCAATCTCACCGCACACACCGCAATCTTTCCCAGGCGTTAGCAATCCGATCGCGGACTTACATAATCTTCTCCGCGGACCCTTTCGACGGAATGTCGGGGCCCGTCATCTGCGCCCGTCTGCCCTGCAACTCTTGGCGAATGTTGCTGTGCATCCTGCTGAAGTCGGGCGAGTGCGCGCGATGGTTCCGCCGCAACCACGACGCGCGTCGCTTGCAGATTCTGCAGGTCGCGCACACGCTGCCCGGATTATGCCCCGCCCGAATGGAATGCCCAGCCGCGGCGCACTCGTTGATCTCCATCGGCGACGCTGTCGGCGCGCTGCTGTTGCACGATGCGATGCTGGCCGGTGATGAGCTGGAAGCCGCCAGCGGCGACGATGGCGATGCCGGGGCGAAACTGTCCGGCGGCGACGCTGGCGTCGGCGTCGAACCCATCCAGCCCGAGGCGGATGCCCTTGTCGGCGGAGCCGAAGCGCTAGAGCGGCTCTGCGCTGCAGTCGCCTGCTCCGGCGCATCCAGCATGAAGAGACCCCCGTCCTCGTCGGCGACCTCAGGGGTCGGCGCGGGCGGCTGATTGTCCCGCCTGCCCAGGCGTCTCCCCTCCCAGGCTGGGCGGGCCAGACCTGCGGCCATGTCCTCGCTCGGCTCGTTCCTGGTGGCGTTCGGACGCAGGATGACAGCAAAAATGTTGACACCGATGATCGTGCCCAAGAACATTGAAGAGCGACCCAGGGAGCACCTGCATCAATAGGATGTTATCGAACGGGGGCGGAGGCGTCGGCTGACCCCTGACCGCTCCGACGCGCGCGGCGAGCGCAGAAGCGATCATGGCGGCGTTCGGCTGTCGCGCTCCGAAGCTGTGAATCTTGGCGCCAAGAACGAGAGCGGAAGGCTGGTTCCATGACCTTGGTGAGCGAGTCGGCGACAATGCGCCGCGTAAGAACCCAGGCAAGTCGGAGCTCGCTGTCGGGGTGCACAGACTCCTTAATCATGGAGGCGACGATGCGGAACTGCTCTTCGGAGGACTGGCCGGCGTCCGATTGGGCGCGCGCGACCGGGCCTTCGCTGTCGCCGTAGACCTCCCCGGGGCGCTTCAGGCTGAGATCGTCGATCTCCTTGAGCGGCTTCTTCGGGTTGAAGGCCTCGGTGAGCAACTGGCGGAGCCAAATGATAATATCGGTCCCCGAGGGTTGCGTAGCCCTCGGCCGCCAGCGTAGGCTTCGCGGGCCTCGACGGCACCGGGGCGCCAGGCGACGGGAAGGCAGAGGTCGTAGCGGCCTCAGACGATGTCCCGCGTCCGGCGGGCGAGGCCCATGGCCGTGCCCTGCTGGCTCTTGATGCCCTCGACGTTGGCGAAGGCGGCGCCGCTGAAGCAGATCGCAGCGCGGGTCTTAAGATCGGCGAAATTGCGCTAAAGCACGATGGCAAAACCGGCGGACCCACGCGCGTAGAACACCGTCTTGTTGCGGGCCGTGGCGTCGGCAACAATAACGACGTTGGTGCGGCGGGCAGCCGTGCTGACAGGGCAGGCGATGTCGACCCGGGTATAAACTGCGAGCCGCAACAGGTATCCCAACGTGCGCCAGTAGCTTGAGACCTCTTCACAAGATAGCTTATCCCCTGGCGATCGACACTTCGCGTTGGTGAGCTCGACGAAGTCCACCTGCGTGGCGGCCGTCGTCTGCATGGCGCGGCGCTCGTCGTCGGACTTCGAAATGGTGCGGTCGCAGAACTTGATGGTGCCATCCATCTTCTTGAGATGCAATTTCTCCTCCAGGATGCTGATGGTACGCTTTCGCGCGCTGGAGTCGTTCCGCTGGGCGATCAGGAAGTCACCCACGTGGGGGCGCATTATGTCGGCGAGGCCCTTGTCGTCATAGAAGTGCGGAAGCTCTTCGCGGACACGCTCAGCAGCGTCAGCTCGTCGAGGGAGCTGTCGCGGGCCAACCTGTCACCATCGCACTCTGGTCCGGCAGCGAACATCCCGACAAACGGCCCGAGTATTTCATCTCAACCGGAAACGAGAGGGAGTAGAAGAAAAGTACGTAACCGTGACCGTGTACAAATACAAAAACCGGCCAGAGAATAACTCGGCTGGAGCATTTCATCTCAACC